AAATTTGATTTTAGAATACCAAATGAATGTACAAGTAGAGAACAGAAGAGAGTTAGTGGAAAGTCGATTGGAAAACAGGCTGTCAAATGGATTTCTCTTATACACATCTGAGGACAAGATGATAGTGCCCTTCAACAGTCGGACCCAGCATATATTTGGATGCTGAGAAGACTGCCTCTTGGATGTGACTGGCATCAGTGGGAGGAACAAAACTGTACTGTAAACTGTACTGTTACCGACCTATTGAATCAACATACAATTTTGTTTAAACAACCACACCGGGTAGAACATTAATTTTGACAATAGCCCTCAGAATATTTTAGACAAACGATGCATAAAGTATTTGTAAATCCTGCCTGCGTACGCTATTTCCGACACTACGTTTTCCAGCCAATAAATTATAAATATCATGTAGACCATGGTAACATAGGCCTACAGGTAGACCTAACGGCCTAGGCAAAGTTAAGCCAGGTAGGTGTTTATGGTATCGTTATACTTACCGATACTGTTCATTTCCATTTCAGACAATTAGATTTGTAGACAACTTACCTCATTGTTTGACAACACGTAATATGGATTAGTCGATACCTCAATAAATTTGAAATTATGTGCGTTTTTATGAAATATAGGTCAGTTTATTCAGTACACCAGTAGCAGCACAGAGTAAGGTCCATGATGTTCACCGTATTACTGGATTAGTCCAAACTGAACAGACAGTACAGCACCAACAATTTTCCAAAATAAACAAACCGTAAGTGTAAGCACAGCAGGGACAGAGTACAGATTAGACAATGTAGTATCATTTGGAGGAAATATTTACTTACTCAATTAAAATATTGAATTGCTCGTTAGGAGATTACATAGTAAAGCTACAAGCTGGGGCGGATGCAGGGGGGTGGGGGCGTGGTAGTGCAGAGGATGCGATCGCATCCCACTAAATTGTATTAAGAAAAATAACTGTGGTATTATATTGTTGATATGAATTATTTTTAAGATTTTAAGGTATGAGAGTGCAATTTTCAAGCACCCAAAGGTCCATATTCTCAAAATTTTCGAACCTCCAGCCATGTTAGGACTGAGGTAACGTGGACTCTCACGCAACCGTGGAAGAAGATCATGGGGGAACCCCCTCACTTTGCGTGAGTCAAGAGGATATGCCTGAAAATTGTTGAAACAAACAGCATAAATGACCTAGGCTTTAACGAAAGAGCGCTCTACAGCCAGAGTACATCTTATTGATAGCAAGATCTTGAAGCAAAAAACGGTCAAGGAAGCAAAAAAGCAGTCGACCAATCGATCGATCGATAACAAATTAAATGAATGAATCGGTCAGTTAGTCAATCAATCGATTAAATAACCAACCATCCATTCAATCAATCAATCAATCAATCAATCAATCAACTCATCATTAATTCAATCAGTCAGTCAGTCAGCTTTCTGGATATAAAGCCGTGGGTGCCCTTTGGCACTTGTGATATTGGCTTACTCACAACTGTTGAATCTTGTACCGTATACCATTAGGCCTAAAAAGGGCAACAACCTCTATTTCAACATTATATATCATCAGTAACACTAGGCCTTATTCAATGGACATCTTTCATAATGTCATCCGAAAGATATTTGAGCTTACGACATTTATTTCCGCAGACCGATCCTAATACAGTAGTTGCTTACGAAACACCAGTCTTTCTGCTTCCGTGTACATAGGCCCATTATTATTTTCTCTAATCCTACAGGGACACTTCAACTAGTGCTTGGCAGCCTTTTAGTGCAATGATAAAGAAAAGAAAACTATTGAAGTAGAAATATTTGAATAGATTAAAGAAAGACATCCTCATGAGACAGCCGTATTAGGAATAGGCATAAATCAGGGAACAATGAATTTCACTGTTCCCTGGCATAAATGCATTGAGCAGAGTATGGCGAGCCGAATTTAATTTAAGTAGATATCTGTATTTTAATTAGAGATATCTCTAAAGATATCTCTATTTTAAATAGAGATATCTTAGTTTATAGAAATATCTCTGTTAATAGAAATAACGTTATTATCTATTTAAAACTAAGATATCTTTATTTAAAAAAGAGCTATATCTCTATTTAAAACTAAGGGCCTGACTAATGTTTTGTGTTTGCTAGGAAGGGTAAAATGATCCTCTGTGGATCAGGACTGCGTTGATGTAATGAAGGACCAAAGACTTTCTACAATTACGATGGTCCCTTTGGCGATCGTTTTAGTCCATTATTATTAGGCCTTCATAAATTATATTTAGGCCTATTTTTATATAATACACATCTATCGCGAAGGAATTTTTATTTAGGACTACACACAAACATTGGACGTTTCTTTGTTGTTGTAAACCTGTAGCAGGCCTTCATAATTATAAGTTATTAAGACGATATGCAATGATACAAATATACCATGTATCAATGTCTTTAAGTCCTCACTTCAGGCCCATAAAATTGAGGGCCAAAATACAGGAAACTATGAAAATGTCTAGACTTAACTCGATGTTTCATCTTTTGAAATGTTAATGCTGACGCGGCTCATGACGACGAATATCTTAAATGATTACAATGAAATATACGAAAAAAACATCCATTAATGTTATTGAATCGATATCACTTTCAGTTAATTGATATAAATATTAAGTGAAAGTGTTTACGATAGAAATATCGTAGTCCATAACATATGCAATAAACTTAATAGTAAAAGGTATCGATTTGGCGGCAAGCATTAACGTATTGTACATGAACGGTGTAATAAAGCGGGTTCATCCGCTGCATGTCCTGATAAAATTGTTATCTTTAGGAATAATTAGGTCTATGATATTTTGGTATAAATAATAAGGTTAATTAAAACAGATCCCGGGTGGAGCTCCACTATGTGTGAACGTTTTAGTCAGTGTATGAGAGAAAGCGCCTGGAGATTTTCGTCTGTAGTTTAATGGATATGGTTGCCATACAATCGCTACACTGTTGCTACAAATTCTGTACTGCAATCGTCCCACTGCGTAGCTGTCCCCGACGCAATCGGGAATGCTCTCTGATTCAACTGACTAATCTGCGCCGCCAAAGGAGTCGGCGATAGCGCGCAGCGTTTTTATGGAAACCAGGCTTTAAGCGCACTACCACTAGGTTCCAAGAATCTGTTGCAACCAGTAGTTAGCGACCACATAAGTACACATCTGGCAGAATGGGCACATAAAAGTAAAAATATACTTAGGCCTACGTAAACGTCATATAAATTTACAGCATAATGCAAAGAAAATAAAACAAGTTGGCTGCAAATCGATTAGTTGCATCTTTCAAGCCAATAAACTATTTTAAAGCTGATTTGACTCGAGAATGAACTAACATAAACCATATGCATAGTGCTATTTTGATACCAAATTAACGAGGGAGGATAAATACCACGGAATACTGAAGAGGTTTAAAACAAGAAGCAGGTCTATAATTACGAAGCGTTATTAACACACTGAATCTATACAGTGTGGTATCCAGAAGTATTGAAATAGGGAAGGGTTGGGAATGAAGTGGACTGGCGCTAAAAAGGAGAATTATTTTCAACTTCTTAAGTGTAATATCAGCAAGTTTCCCGTGAGGATTGCCGTGCAAGATATGCAGCCGACATAGGCCTATTTATGAGATGGTTACATAAATTATAGACCTATGCCTATATTTTTCTTCCTATTTCCTCCTAAAAATTAACACCAAGCGATAAACCCAATGAACTCATAGCCTTTCACTATTTAATGCAAATACAAACAAAACTAGTACCGTAATAATAATGATGATTGCAATGACAGTGGTGGATTCAAGGGAACTCAACCCATCCCCTCCTCTAAATTATATTAAAAATTTAGGTCTGAGTGAGCCATTTCCGGCCAATCATGAATTTTCTTACATCAGCCCCAACCATGGAGAGGTTCAATGGTCTAGATCCGGGCCCCTGTATTTCGAATTCCTGGATCCGGACCTGTGACATGACAATAATGATGACTGTGATGCATGAAGCACAAAAACTCAGCAAATAGTAACCGGAAATAGACCTAACTATTTATTTGATATTTGATGTTCTCATATTATATACATATATGCTGATGAATTTGTCTATGCTCTAACCAACTTATTTTTCAAGTACAGAGACGTGACCAGGAAGCAAAATATGTAATGAACAACATTTGATATCTTTCAAATTTATTGGAGATAATGAGTAACAAGACCCAACACGCGCCACTCACATGCAGTAGCCAGTAGTACATTCAATATTATGGTCATGATGACATCACATCATGCCTATATATAGGTGTGTTCCCAAACGGAACACCCCTTCGAAAAAAATGGAACAGTCCTACCCAGGGCGCCACGTACGAACAGTCTCCCTAACAAACGTCCTCATTCCCTAGAGATCCAAAAGATCACGGAGAGGGTAGGAAGGGAGGGAAGGTTATCCAGGTAAGTATCTCACTCATAGACTACCAACATCACCATTGATTTGTGCAGACAACACTTTTTTTGTCAAACAAAAGTTGATAGTCTGGCCAGGGCTTAAGATAAAATAATTACCACATCAGGGTGTATGACTAACGCCTCGTTTTCATAAAAATCGCTATACACTATCGTCGACTCATTTGACGCTGATTGGTCAGTTCATGGACCTATTAATAGGTCCATGGTCAGTTGAATCAGATTGCGTCGGGGACAGCTACACAGTGCAAGGATTGCAGCGAATTCAGCAACTGTGTAGCGATTCTATGGAAACCAGGCTTAATTCACCCTGCTAATTAAATGTATAATGATTGTAGATTTAAGATATAGTTACAGAAGTTCTAGTTTAGATTTCTTTGCTTGTGTTACGTACGTAGGCTAAATTGCTCTGCTGTAGATGAAGATATATCTTATAAAATAGGCCTATTACTTGTATGCACTGATGCACGTGATAACAGTGGGTTCAGTAACAATAACAATACATTGAGTCAATGGAAATAAATTAAAAGGCATTTACATCTAAAAAATGAATATTTTATTATCCACTCGCACATAAAACTCACATGTTTGAAGCCAGTCGCGCGTGTCAAAATTATAATTTCATTATAAAAAATAAATAAACGGATTTATTGTATTTGGTGAGAGAATACTCGGTGATCAACACATAAATGCAATAACGCCTCTCTGTGACTTTCACATCCTTTATGGACCAAATTTGGCTTGAATTCAAATAATATACTTGAGTTAACCAGCTTATTAAAATACCTACGGTACCATATTCAATTTGCTTAGGGTATCCTTTTGCACTTCGATTTAATTAACATAATACACTCCTTTTCAAATTAATTAATTAATATTTACACCACCAAATCCACCAAAACGCTCAGTAAACCTAATATTCAATGGTAATTTTCCTAAATTAAATATACTTTTAAATCCGTTGCAGTTGGAAATTCAATATCAGTAGTTAGATATGTGGAGATTATTTTAATTTTAAAAAATATATATATTTCTTTTGTTCAAATTTTCATTATAAATCGATGGTTAGTTTTTACTTCATAACTCCATCAATTTCACACTACCCCATGTAGGGCCGACGTTAACTTTCACAGGCAGCACAACAGACAGTGTCATAGCGGATTCCATTTCGGTTTTAACCAACTTTGCAACTTGTCGTACGTTGTCTTTTCGCACTTCGTAGATCAACTCGTCATGCAGCTGTAAAACTAAAAAGGCTCCGGATGGAGTGTTGGGTGAGCGGCTGCCACCTCGTGTCCTGCGTCCTGAAAATAAATTTTAAAAATAAAATAAATCATTTTTCTTTCTTGTCCTCTTTGAAATTGAATTTTGGTTGGCCACTGGGATCTCCAGCTGCAACAGTCAGCGGACACACAGCAAGTACAAATAGATACAAATAAAAGGTTCTATTTTTTATCAAACTCTAATGTGTAGTTTATTCAAGGAGTGGAATAATCATGATCCCCAAACAAAAAACAAAAAAAACCAAAAAAATAATAATTTTTTTTTTCTGAAGATTGCAATCAATACAATAGTACTTTATATTTAACAATGAAAGTGAAAATGGTTACAATAACAATATCAATATTCATGTGTGTTCATTTTCTAAAAAGAAAACAATTATCTATGGTGATAAAGTAGTATAGTTCTCTGCATAATAGGGGTCTATTTTAATCTCACCTGCTTCAAGTCAAAGCGAAATTGATATTTCAATATGAAATGATATGTCGGCATATCTTTTGAAGCACATAGTCAGCGATTAAAACATCTAACAACTTTTCAGTTTTAGCTCTGGTAAGGGAATTGTGTATATAATGTACAAGGTACAGTAATACCTGTAGATCTCTTGAGACTTCGATCAAAAATAATGTGTGGGCTAATTTGTTTATGACTGACTATTTTAAAAATGTCAATGTTATTGGCAGATGAAATGCAAACTACGTATTATGATGAACACTATATATTATATATAGAGTATAAAAGAAATGTGCCTGGGACCTCATTTAAATTTTTAAAATGTCAAAAATTCATTAGATCTAATTGTGGGAATGCTGAATATAACTAATGCGTAATAATGAGAGTTTCAAGGAATCTGGTTCGGTTTTTAAGGCAAGAATTAATCAGATATATAATTTAATTGTTTTCGGTTTTGGTCTTTATAATATTAATTAATTTGTTATATAATTATTATTATTAATTATTATTATTATTATTATTATTATTATTATTATTATTATTATTATCATTATTATTTCCTCCAAAAAAGATTAGAATGTCATTTGAACAATTCCTTAACATAATTCTAAAATCAATATTACGAACAGGTAGAGGAAGAGAATTCCAGCAAACAATAATTCTATGAAAAAACATGATTATTTCATTCAATTATTTTAACCTTTTAAAGACAAAAATAATTAAACACCTTTTTTCCAATTTATCACAAAATCTGGAAGTCATTAAGGCCAAATATTCATAGACATCGATCATCTGCATTGCTAATGCTTATTTTAATCTAAAAGCTGAATAAAGTAATAAAATTTGAATAAATTGATCAATGTAACACTATTTTAGATTACAATCAATATACATTTTTTATAAAGATAATTAAAGCTACCCTGTTTGTGTTGAGTCAATAAATTAATTCATTAATTCTGCTTTTATTATCAAAACTCATTTGCAATTGGAGTTACATATATGTACAATAATAAATTGATAAAAATGATTTCTATATTTACAAATTAATATTATAAAATAATGAGAAATAACCTTTGCATATTAAGCACAGATTAATACTTGTATACAAATAATTAAAAATTATATTTTTCTTGCAATAAACAGCTGAGGCCTCACATAATTATTGTGATGATGAGCTAGAAAAAAAAATCAATACTTTACATGATTGTAATAAAAGCGAAACCATGAACGCTAGCACATGTGCTATAAATGACAATTTTTTTCAAATTTAGGGTTAGGGAACTGGAGGGACATATTAAGTCTGTTGCATCAAAATCAATGTCTCTCTTGAGTTTTTTTTTTTAACTGTTCATTCCTTTTTTCTAATTTTTAACTCATATTAAAATTAAATACTGCTCTTGTTCGAACTCTCATTGAAAATGGTGTCCCAGCTTGTTGGTATCCTCACCAACAAGGATGTATTCAGAAATTAAAATGTGTTCAAAGAAGAGCCACCAGGGGTTGCTATTCATTTATCGACTGTCCATCTTATGAGGAGAGGCTTACTAACCTTAGAATAATTTCTCTAAAACACAGATTTAAAATAATAACAATTTCATACATGTGCAAGTGCCTCTAATCAATTCATTATTATTATTATTCATTATTATTTTCATTTGTTCTTGTTAATCAAAGACACACTGACAATTTGAAATTTACACATGCTTTCGCCAGAACCAATGCTTAAAAATACACAGTTTTTAATACTTCCCCTGACTCTGGAATGCTTTACCTGCAGATATTCAAAATTTACTACTCTTTAACATTTATTATTCCTTGATGGAATTCAATGCATATTATAGTAACATTTATGGGATTTGTGAATTTGCTTCAATTGCTCTCTCGTTGGTTTCTTTTACCTTGAAAACCAGGCTACACCACAATCCTTTTTCTGTTATTAAATTTTTATAAACATTTTTAGTTTATTTTATTGTTATCTCTTTCTTAATTAGGTATATTTAAATTTTTGAATGTGTTTTTAAGATTGTTTTCATGTTTTTAATACAAATTTTACCATGTTTATATTATATTTGATATATAGAATTATAATTGTTCACATGATATTTTATATTATTAGTCGTCGTGAGGAGAGCCTCTCGATAGTAATGTAATTTTCTTCCTTTGACCAATCCTGCCACATTACAACTATATTGTTATATATTAGTATGGTGCAATAAATGAAATCAAATGAAAATTTGAATACTATAATACCATAACCCACTCAATTCGAAATTAAAAGCAGAGTTAAGTTGAGTTCATCCTGTGTCAATCGTTCAAAAAAGATCACTAAGTGACTTTTAATGTGACGCCACGATCCACTATAATGTGGTGAGTATTAAAATTGATGTCGGTTTGTTTGTAGCACTATTAACCTACAGTTGTTAAGCTGTAGGATCAATGAAAAAAAAGTTGTATTCATTGTAACAAATGAAATATACCAATTAAAACAAATCAACCAACCAACCAACTAACCAACTAACCAACCAATCTTAAATCAATCAATATATATGAGTATCACTCAATCAATCAATCAAACAATCCGTCATAACAACATTTATTTTCTTTTCTCCGAAGATTATGTAAAATGTTGAGCTGAATGAATAAAAGAAGCAAGACCTATAAAGCACTACTTGTGCAATAAAGATACATAATAATATAATATAATAATATGATATAATAATGAACAAATCAACAGTACTTACGCGAAGTTTCATTTTGCTTATGTCTGTGTGTTTTCAATGTTGATGGAAACTCCTCTGCTAATCTTTTATCAATCCTGACCATTGCTTTCTTAACCAGATCGGCCGCTGAGCCCTGGACAGTTGTGTTGACGGCCTGTCTCTCTGCGTGACTCCTTGCATGCACGTTGGAATCATGGATTTTGGGCAGGTACCTTCGTCGACCAGTTATTGTCACAACAAAACCATTTTCACGACACTTTTTGGTTGTGTTTTCAATGTACGCCTTCAATCCTAAAATAAAAAAAATACACTTATTATAATATATAATGTTGTTTTGTGAACCAGCATCCATTTATGCTGTTGAACATGTAAACATCCGATGCTCTGTGATTGGCAGTGATTTATACTATTAGTTTAGACTAATATCTTGGCTAACGTAATGTTGGCCCTACTGGATGCGCGACTGTTGGTGAATACATAGGAATGCCACTTATATTTTGTGACAAATGATTTCCCGATTACAGGCAAGACACCATAGTGTGTACAGAAGGTAAGAAACTACTATAATCAGTATTATTCTAGATGGGACCTACAATACAGTTGGTGAAACAGGACATACAGTACCTTTGTATCTTGCTTTGAACATTTCAATGAAAACTGTGGCTTCATCGGGTGACACTTCCAACTGATCTGCCAATGCCTTAGATCCAATGCCATATATGATCCCATAGCAAATCTAAGTATATAATACAATATTATTTGTTATTTTTGTTACTTGAGCTTTATACAGTGCCTTTACGTTACAAAGAGCTTCGTTTTGCTCTGGTCACTTGGTCTACAACATTACCTGTTGCTGCCACAATCAGCGTAGGCCTACTGTAGGTGGAGGAACCTCAACATATATGTATTTATACTCCTGAGTGAAGAGAAGCAACCCTAATAAAGTTCCTATATTCAAGGAAACAAGAAAAGTGTACAGCGAGGGCTTGCAACCCTGATCTCAAGGTTTGGAATAATTTCCATTCCCACTATGCCAAACTGCTCTCACTGTAATAATTATTCATGAGGTACTGTAAGTATATCATGGTGCAGTAACTAAATAAGAGGGACTGGAGACTGTATGTTATAGTAATCAGTCTGCGATAATCAAAGATAGTACAGCTATTGCATGTCTATAGTACACCCAGTCACTTACAAATAGCGGTGTAGCGAGGTGGTGAGAGGCCCCGGTGCAAGATAATTGCCGGGCCCTAAAAGGCACCTGATCGGACCCAGAGAAAGAACATTGGTGGGGTATATTTAGGCGAAACTCTTAATGGTCATACATTCTGAAATTGTTAAAAACAGATGCAGCACTGTAATGAGCTTAAATATCTATAAGATATTTGAAAACATAAGATATTGTGAACAAAATACAGTCATATATAATTATTTTATCATTTAGGGCCTTCATGAGTGTGATAAAGAATAATGGTATGATATTGACAATAATAGAACAATGAAATGACGTGTAATGGCTGCACTGCCCATACCTACACCACTGATTCAGACTGTGGGCCTAGAAAGCTTTCACAAACAATGTTGATACTAAATGAGATAGGGTGGCATGTGATATATTTAACCACTTAAAATAAAATGAGGAACTTGGTTTTCTTTTAATTCACTATATTAATTTTTTTTAATGGAATTATAAAGCTTAATCACATTCTTATTTTCCTGGCTTATATTCATTAAATATTTCCTTTCATTTAATTTATTTCAGCTTGTTATATACAAAAAGACAGTAAAGCTTCTAAAAAAAAATAGTCTCATGTTTTCCCCAAGAACTCACAGGATTGCCAAAAAGTAAGATAAATTACTATCTTGCTCTCCAAGTGATGGGGAACAGACCAGCATTAGAACATAAAATAAAAATCTATAAAAATAATGCTAAATACACATTTCCATCATGTAAACTGCAATTAATATTATTATTTTTACACCCATAATGTTATTTTTACACCAATAAATAATTTTTACACCCATATATTATTTTTACATCCATGATTAAAATGAATAATGTTAAGACCTGTTTAGCTTGCTGTCGGATTTCGCTAGTCACTTCCTCTGGGGAGATGCGCTTCCACTCTGCAGCGATAGTTTTAAAAACATCGCCACCACCATTTAGAATCTTCACCAACTTAGCGTCTCCAGACAAATGCGCAATGATACGGATCTCAAGTTGAGAGTAATCAGCTGCAAGGATCACACCACCTATTGAAAATCATAGCCTGTCATTACTCAATGTAAATACAGGGTAATGGACTAATAGAAAACGTATTGATCTGTAGATAAATATTATCTAAATCTATACAAACCAGCAGTGAAAGAGTACGACAATGTTTAGTTTAAGATAAACTGATTGTGAATTGAAGAGATATAGACGTCTTAGCTTTGTCCAAAAATGATGACTGGTATCTTAACTAAATATTCATATTTGAAATTGGCTATTGGTGAATATTGGCTATTGGTGAATATTAGAGGTGAATTTCATAAAAGTTTTTAATGCAAGCAATTTCAAATTTTGTTTTTCACCAAAACATTCATTTTAATTGTTATTTAGAATTTTATATGGTGCATTTTGGTTAAAGATATTTATATTTTGAAAGACATTGATAT